CACTGCATTGAAGTATTTACTAGTATCCAGCAGCAGTTCATAAATACGTTCTCTGGCATGAATAACAAGTGGCAAGTCAGAATCGTCTATGTTTTCAACACTAAACGTGTTATACAGGATTCCCAAAAGCTTGTTTTCAATTGAGACACGTTTAACTCCAATTTCTCTGTCAAATATGGCATGCAAGACGTTAGGTTTTGCCATTGTTTGTTAAATGGTGCAGTAGGTTATGTTTTTTAATACTGCATTGAAAAATCTGAGGGATATAGGGGAAATTCTGCTATATAGCCATATTTCCCCCTTGTGCTAAGGGGAAAAATCTGACTCTAAAGCGGAAATATGGCTATGTAGTCATTTTCCCCCGGGGGAAATTAAGCTATATAGCCCTTTTTCCGGGGGAAAAATTTGGCTATATAGCCCCTTTTCCGGGGGGAATTTAGGCTAGGGGGGAAATCACACTCTCTGACAGGCTCCATCGGAACTGCACCGTCAGAGACGTCTAAACTATGTAGGCCTGTGAAACAATCCATGTTGTAGAAATACCATGTCACTCATTAGGTCACACGTTTATTGTAAGTCAACGTGGAGACAATGGCCTATAAATTCCTAGGGGATTTTCAATTAATTACACTACAGCCTCGCTTCATTGTTTTCTCAAAACGGCAGGCTTCCAGAAGATTGAGATTTACTGCCTTGTTTCCGGGATGATTTACTATTTCTGTTAGATGAATGGTATTTTTATATTGTGTGAAGGGAAAGCAAACGTTTATGGTATGTTTTCAATTGACTAAGGGTTTGATTCTTATTATGCAAAATTAGTTTATGCACAAGCATTGTTTTGGGTATCATTGTTTGTCATTGTCAGGGGTATTTCAACAAGCATCTATGTCATCATTGTCAGGGATATTTGTACGCACATTTGTATCATCATTGTCAGTGGTATTTCAAGTAAAATAAATGAAATAAAACATACATGGTCACTTGCAAACACAAATAATTGTTAAATTAAATTATGTCCAATCTACTCACCGACTCTGATTGGAAGCCTTTACTGAAATAAACTCAATGTCAAGCTGAAACTGAGCCTGGAAGAAATGTCAAGGAGTTGGACTAGAGGTATATTATATAGTTAATATTTATTTTAGTAACAAGGAAATCGTAATTTTATAGATATTTCATATATTCTCTTCAAAAAAAGAAACTTGACACTGACTTTCAAAATGTAATATAATGCGATTGTTTCAAAATAGGACACAGAAACCATAATTGAAACACTGTTTGAAGATCAATGTACACAATGTTCAAAACATTAATCGTGTCACCTAGACAGACACACGTACACGATACAGTTAATGTCACAGGGGTACAGAAAATGTGAGTATCGGTTGTGCCACCACGTACATCAATCACCGCTTGACACCGACGACCCATAGATGCAATCAAGTTGTCAATAACACGCTGTTGGATGTGCTGCCATTCATCATGAAGTGCATCAAGAAGCGCCGGAAGTGTTTGGGGCGGTGGATTCCTTCTACGAACGCGTCGATCCAACTCGTCCCACAGATACTCAATCGGCGACAAATCTGGTGACCGGGCTGGCCAAAGTAATGTCTGGATGTTGTTGTACTGTAAGAAGTCCTGACAAACACGTGCAATATGCGGTTGAGCGTTGTCCTGCTGGAACTGTCCGCCATGAACGTTGACGTGAGGAAGAACGTAAGGCTGTAGGATCAAGTCTCTGTAACGCACACCTGTCAATGCACCTGCCACATGCACGAGAGGCGTCCTACCACCGTGATGAATTCCGGCCCATACCATGACACTCCCGCCGCCAAATGGGACAACCTGCTGCACACAGTTGGGGGCGTAACGTTCACCCCGACGTCTGTAGACACGTGCGTGCCCATCAGCACGTGTGAGTAGGAAACGGGACTCGTCAGTAAACAGCACATTTCTCCACCTTGCACGTGCCCATCTAACCCTCTGTTGGCACCAAAGCAGACGGTCCGCCAGATGACGTGGGGTCAACACATGACGACGAACAGGTCTTCGTGCAAAAAGTCCAGCCTCCCTCAGTCTGTTTCGTACCGTTTGATCTGATATTCTGCGTACCCCGGGGATCTGTGTGGTTGTAGACGTGGCTGTGGTAGTGCGGTCTCGGAGGTGTCGCAGCCGGATGTATCGATCTTGTGCTTGGGTTGTCACCCTTGATCTTCCTGAACTTGGTCTGTCGTCAACTCTGTTGGTGTTGTTGTATCGGGTCCACAGTGCGGAGATTGTCTGTCTGGATACGCCAAAGAACCTGGCCACTTCTTGCTGAGTTGCTCCAGCTTGTAATCTCCCAATGGCGTTGTTCCGTTGAGTTGCATTCAGTCTTGGCATACTGTCACCGCCTCTACTGCCGTTATTAGGACTGTATGAACAGCCGTTGATGTGGATTTTTATACCCATTCAGCAGGGGGGGGGGGGGGGGGGGGCTGCATGCCTAAATGCAGGATCCTGTGCTGCACGTTTTTTACAGGCGTTTGCGTTTGGATGAAGCTGTAACTTTGATCCCCAAACGCTACGTTTATGTGCTTTGCATGTGTTTTCGCGAATTATAGACACATCATCTTTCTGTTTGACTTATTTGGTTCTGATTTAATGTAATTGTTTTAGATATTTGGCAAAAAGTGGTTTTATGTCTATGTCAAGTTTCTTTTTTTGAAGAGTATATATCTCACTTTCTGCCGGAAGCCAAGAATGTTTCTTCGGATAACAGACCGCCGAGGGAAAACACATATACCACAACATAACATAAAAAAGCATGCAAATAAAGCATATATACAACTGCATAAATCGTTCTTATCGTTATTAAAAATAGAGATGCCGTTTTCGCCCGACAATTAGTAGCCGTTTTCGCCCGACAATTAGTAGCCGTTTTCGCCAAAAGAGGTGCCGTTTTCGCCCGACAATTAGTAGCCGTTTTCGCCAAATGAGGTGCCGTTTTCGCCCGACAATTAGTAGCCGTTTTCGCCCGACAATTAGTAGCCGTTTTCGCCAAATGAGGTGCCGTTTTCGCCAAATGAGGTGCCGTTTTCGCCCGACAATTAGTAGCCGTTTTCGCCAAATGAGGGGCCGTTTTCGCCCGACAATTAGTAGCCGTTTTCGCCCGACAATAAGTAGCCGTTTTCGCTAAATGAGGTGCCGTTTTCGCCCGACAATTAGTAGCCGTTTGCGCCAAATGAGGTGCCGTTTTCGCGAAATGAGGTGCCGTTTGCGCCAAATGAGGTGCCGTTTGCGCCCGACAATAACTAGCCGTTTTCGCGAAATGAGGTGCCGTTTGCGCCAAATGAGGTGCCGTTTGCGCCCGTGAAATCGGTGACATTTGGCTGAGGTGCCGTTGATGATGTTGAGTACAAATGGTGATGCCTTGGACAAACTTCTTATAGTCATGACATTCACAAAAGGTTCAAGCCCATTCCCCTGTGTTTTTCTAAGAATAAGATCTTTAATCGTATTGTAAAAGCGATATAAGAGCTTGATAAAAGTGAGCAGAATTTTAACTGAAAACGTCAGTCCGTCACAAGAGAAAGAGACCCCTCTTTGAAGTGATGTAGGTCCATTGCCATTGCCTAGACGGCCGAAGCAACTGAAGTTTTGGCTTTGGTCCGTCAAGGAGTATCTGACACACTAATGAATTAACCCAAACACCTTCAGTGGACATTTTGGGCCTGCTTGAACTTGTTCGCTATTTACTCCTATCAAATGGGTGTAGGTTGGTGAAACTGGACTATCATCCCGACAGCCATATCTTTTCGCAGTCAAGTTTAATTTCCATGACAAACATATGCGAAAACCTACATTTTGCCCTTGCTCTCCAGCGTATGCAGACAGTTTGATGAAACATGGCGGCAGGTTGTGGGGTAGAAGATATAACTTTCCAATTTTGCAAGATGTCGAAAATGCAAACGTAAATCGGACGACGGCCAACGTAATAAAAATGATGATAGACTGCCGGTGGCCGGCTACTCCTACTATGTCTTTATACAGTCCTCATGTGCTCAACCCCGTGAAGATCCGGGGTAGAATAGGCATGCTTGTCGTAAGAGGCGACTATGCTTGTTGTAAAACGCGACTAACGGGATCGAGTGGTCAGACTCGCGGAGTTGGTTGATGCATGACATGGTATCCCAATTGCGTAGATCGATACTCAATCACTTGACTGTCTGGTCCAGACTCGATTATTTACAGACCGCCGTCATACAGCTGGAATATTGCTAAGTGCGGCGCAAAACATATACAGATATTTTTCTCAACACAGATCTAAACAAACAAACAAACAGACAATAAACAAAAACAACCCAAATGATATGCTCACAGAACTAACTATTACTATCAAAAAGACGAGGCATGCGCCTATGATGGATGGTGTTTTGATGGCCGTCTCGGGAGGTCAAACCATCAAATGTTAATGGGCCGCTAGTTTATTTTGTTTTTATCACCATGTCATTATTTCTCTTATTATTATGACCAGGAAAAAGTAGAGAGCTGGTTTGGGCGGAATTCAAGAGGAAATCTAATCATTAGCAAGTCCTTAATGAAAGGTTTTTCACTGATGTTTGTACTGACTATATCTACCAACAAAATCTACCTGGGTCAAAGATTTGCTCAAGTTCAAATAAAGTCTTAGAAAATGCCCCGAAAACCATTCGAAACAGCTCGTTTGGACATATTTTAATTTTGCCCCTACACTTGATGTAAAAGCCCAAACCATGCAGATGAAAAGAACAAGGTATCATTCTCATCTTATATGAACACTTCCCATAATTTTAATAAAATAAAATCGAAACTTTTTGCTCAGTCCTTAAATCATGCAGATCAGAGGCCAAAATGGTCCCTTATGTTAGCTTGTCCTTTAGAACTAGTGGTGTAGTTTAATAAGGATAAGTTAGATGTGGCGTTGATAATTCCATGTAAGATTAGCATGTAGCGATGGGTCGAGTGTGTGCTGGACTTACCCCGGTGAGTTTCCGTGTCTCCCTGTCCAGGCCAGGGGACGTCCACACTTGGCATTGATGGGTGTCGGGGGAGTAGGTGTACGACTCGCAGGGGGAGATATAATCACACAGGGCTTCACACTGGCCCCGGAATTTCACGTAAGCTTTGTACAGTTCACATTGGTCAGCTTTTACAAGAAGTGTCACCCACACCACGATGAAGATGTGCCCAAACATTCCACCCTGCTCAGCACCAACACCGCTACTGTTCGCATCCACAGACTCGCGTTGACTGCGTCAGAAATTATTGACTGCGTCTCCCGAATCGTTTATGTGTCGCCTTAACAGATTCCTAACAACGTCAAGCCGACGCGAAACACCATGCATCTACCGTAATCTACCAATCAATAACATACATGTGTTTATTCCTAGTTATATACTCCATCTCTTGTCCGCATGCAACACACCTAATCATTCTTCAGGAACTCATGGCTTCTGTTTATTTTGTCATATAAAGAAATTAAGTCTTGCATTTCATAGATCAAAACATCGATATTATTAGTAATACGTATTTATTTTGTAAAACGCCATATTTGCTCTGCACTGACGATTCAGTTCTTACCTTAACATGTCGAAATATCGACCTGTCGCAACCTCAACATACAACATATCAGGCCTAACGATTGTCACAGTATTGTATTGTAACAAATGGTTTTAATTTAAGGTTGTCAGGCTGAATGAAATGTGCGGTTTCCGAATCAAAGGTTTGAATACATCGACGCATGAGGTCTGTAGTTTAACGTATATACACATGTCGAGTCTAACAGAGAGCATGGCTCTAGTTGTACAACTGACGAAGAGGAGGAGAGGATTCAGACTTCGTGTTTTAACAATACACAAGTTGATATCCTTAGTATGTGTGTCTTGGCATGGATGGGCAGGGGGACTACTGGTCGAAGATTTGAACGCACATTCCAGTTAATCTCCGTCTGCCAGGGCCATACCCGTACTTGTAGGTTTTAACAAATAGGCCCATGTGCCGTACTTGTAGGTTTTAACAAATAGGCCCATACCCGTACTTGTAGGTTTTAACAAATAGGCCCATACCCGTACTTGTAGGTTTTAACAAATAGGCCCATGTCCCGAACTGTGACACGTATCCTATCATTACCCTTTCACGCCCTGATATACAAGTAACTCACATACTGCTCACCCACTAACTCAGACACTTGGCCCAAGACCGTGATTAGTTCTGAACAGAGACCATTCTGAACCACATCCTACATATAGGACGCACAATCTATAGAGAGCAATTGATAATACACATTTTGATTGACCAATATTGCTTGATTAAAAACAAAATGGACGGTGAATATATTTGGAGCGACCTTTGCTGAAAACATAAAAGCGAATAATACGATATTATTGATATGAAGCTGTCACTGAGGGTGAGAGAGTTCAGCCGGTTTGGCGACAGGAGGCCACCGTGGGGGTTGTGATTAACGGCCGCTTTAAGCAGCGCTCCAGTTATATCCGCTTACCAGGGTCATTTGGCTATGGACGGCTCGTTAAAGAAACGAGCTCTGTAGACTGCGAGTCATGTTGTGACTTTTCAGCCCAACATAAAACCAGTGAAGGATGTTGCGTGTAGTTTCAAAACTACCAAGTTACACCATTGGTTTCATTGTGAAACGGGGGCGGTGGGGTAGCCTTGTGGTTATTGAAAGCGTTCGCCCGTCACGCCGAAGTTCGTGGTTCGATTCCTCACATTGGTACAATGTGTGAAGCCCATTTCTGATGTCACCCATGGTGATATTGCTGGAATATTTCTCAAAGCGACGTAAACCTATGCACACTCACTCATTGTGAAACATGCGCTCATCTCGGAGTGCTTATCAACAGTCCTCCTCCATAACCTGACACATGGTCTGCACGGGTAGTAGTTAACATACGTACTATCAAATTTACAATAATGTGATGATTAGCAATTTGTCAAATAGGCCTACATCTTTTTGACGATACTGATTGTACTCACGTTAATGGTTATATTTATTGAATAGCCACCGGTAATCATGCTGCGCCTTTAAATAAAGCTTTGTCGAAATACAAACTCCTAAACACGGGGGTAAACACTTAGTTTGCCACAAGGCCGTTTTACCTTTTGTAATTATTCCGGGGTTGTTTGAAACAAATTAAGATGATTAAGCAAATTCTAAGCCTAGCTGGTATTCGGTGGTTTACACATAGCAAACAGCTCTAAACATTGTTCAAAATGACACAAACGGGTCCAATGAACGAGTGTTCGTGAACACAATGGCCATGCTTAAGAAGATCGACTTTTTTATGGATTTCTTACAAAGATATTTCATAGGGTAATTACAACGAGTTTACTACGAAACAAAAACTAGCACGCTTCACGTGTCACATGTTTATTGAACAGCGATTGCCTGCAGATTATCCGATAGCCTGTGCAGATAGATCGGTGTAACCTCACCCCAAAGTGCAGGAGAATCGCCACGATTCCTTAGTAATAGCTCGGCGAGTACTATTGATCAATAAAAATATATTGATATTTCATGGTATTGTGTAGTAAATTAACTTTCAGACATAATAATAAAACAGTAACTGTTGCTTTTGAACAGTTCATATTGTCAAAAACGACTAATCTGTAATTCTCTTCTTTTCAGGTCTTTGTCGAGGCTAATGACCTAGCTGCTACAATCGTTTGTCCAGTGTCCGTTACCAATTACATGTACTTGTAGTTGGCTTCCAGTTAGGAGATAAACCTACTGTGCTCGGTTCAACATTATAATAAGAGGTATCTATTCTACAGTGGGACTACATCAAATTTCAAAACACAGTAGGTTTATCTCCATTATGCGGTATAAGGTACCGGAACATTCTGAGGACATTCCAATGGAAATGGAAAATGTTATAACAAATTATATAAGATAGCTAGGCGATAAATCGGAAAGAACAATAAAGAACGAAGAGTGGTTTATTTCACGACAAAACATTGTCCTATCATGACGTCATTGCTGGAGATTCCAACAGGCGATCGCAACTTGATGACGCCGTAATTTGGACGACTTTAGTTTTGATAGGGAAGTGTCAAGTGAACTGTTTACCATAGATGCAGCTGGGCAACGCAGATAAACGCAATGATCGCGCCCAAACGTTGGAGAGATATGACGATCAGTAATGGGAGAAAAGGTACAGATAATCGACGTGAAATTTGTGAGAATATCCTGGAAATAGCAAACTTAAGCCCCTGATCATAAAATGGAATCGTTTGCCAAGGTCGGATTGTATTCAGGGAGTCGTCATTATTTAAATAAGGGTAAATATGTTCAAAGCTTTTAAATTTCATTAACATCCTTAAAGAGGCTGTACATACTTTTGATAGCACATATAAGAAATAGACAACTCGTGGGCTTATGGGCATGGTTTATTCTCCCTGCAGTGTTTTGTTGTACGATAAACATATTTCGTATATTTCTTAAGTTATGCCTCAACCTCTCATTGTGATTATGATTATTGGTATAGACAACAGTTGCCTTATGAATGGTTTACTGAGAGACAAGAGGTGCGTGTCCCAAACGACAACGTGTCCCAAACAATAACTTTCTTTTGAAAGCAAACACTTTATTCCAAGTTTAAAAAATATGGGTAGTTCCGTGACAAGTTGAATGTAATGAAAAAAGGTGTCCCCGATAAAATTGTTGAAAGTTTTTAGATAAAAAATATAAGCACTCGTACAAACACCCCCACAAACACGCTCACAAGTAGCCTCCCAAACACCCCGAAGACACCTGCACAAACACCCCCACAATAACCCACACACGCATATCCAGAAACATCCCCACAAGCACATCACCAAACACCTCCACAAACAACCGTACAAACATCTTACAAATACCAACACAAGCACCGCCACAAACACCCGCATAAGGACCCTACTATTATCTCCACAAACACTCTCGCAAACAACCTCACAAACATTCCAGAAACAGACGCACAAACACCCCTTCAAACACCCCTACCAATACCCAGGCAACCCACCCACAAGCACCTCACAAACACCCTCACAACTACAAACACCCCGTAGACACACCCACAAACAACATCTCAAATATAACAGAAACACCCACCACCCGCTCTAACCGCCCCCACAAACTTCTCGCAAACACACCCACAAACACACTCACAAACACACCCACTAACACCTCACACAAACACTCTCACAAACCCTCACAGACACACCCACAAACCAACCACAGACACCCCACAAACACATTGATAGAAAACCCGACAAACACACCCACAAACATACCCACTAACACCCTTACAAAAACCCGCACAAGCACCACTACAAACACCTCCACAAACACTCTTACAAACACCCGCACAAGCACCACTACAAACATCTCCACACACACGTCACAAACACCTCTACAGACACCCCCGCAAACACCTCCACAAACACGCCACAAACACCTCAAGTCACTCCACAGACACCCTACAGACGCTCCACAGACAACCACAGACACTCCACAGACACTCCTCACACACCCGACAGACGACTGGACAGACACCCCCACACGCTCCTCACAAACACCTCTACAGACACCTCCACAAACCCCCCCACAAACACGCCACAAACACCCGCAGACACCTCAAGTCACTCCACAGACACCCACAGACACCTCCACAGACATTCCACATACACCTCTACAGACACTCCACACACACCCGACAGACGACTGGACAGACACCCCCACACGCTCCTCACAAACACCTCTACAGACACCTCCACAACCCCCCCCCACAAACACGCCACAAACACCCGCAGATACCCCAAGTCACTCCACAGACACCCACAGACACCTCCACAGACATTCCACAGACACCTCTACAGACACTCCACACACACCCGACAGACGACTGCACAGACACCCCCACACGCTCCTCACAAACACCTCTACAGACACCCCCGCAAACACCTCCACAAACACGCCACAAACACCTCAAGTCACTCCACAGACACCCCACAGACACCTCCACAGACATTCCACATACACTCCACAGACACTCCTCACACACCCGACAGACGACTGGACAGACACCCCCACACGCTCCTCACAAACACCTCTACAGACACCTCCACAAACCCCCCCACAAACACGCCACAAACACCCGCAGACACCTCAAGTCACTCCACAGACACCTCCACAGACACCTCCACAGACATTCCACATACACCTCTACAGACACTCCACACACACCCGACAGACGACTGGACAGACACCCCCACACGCTCCTCACAAACACCTCTACAGACACCTC